AGGAGGAGGCGGTGGACTTGGTGGAGAGCAGCCAAAGGAGGCACAATCAACAGGATAAGAAGAAAAAGATTTACATTCTGCGGGAGACCGTTGCATTGGTCTCAATGGTAAACAATTTCTACGATCATCAAACTCTTGAAGCCTCAAACAAACCGGTGGCTCGCCGGAGAAGAAGTTATACGAGTAAGTGAAGTTCTCGAGGTTCGGTAATCGGCATATACTCTCCGGGATATGGCCGGATAATTTGTTATGCGCGATGTTCAGCTGCTCCAAACTCTTCATATCACCCATTGTCTCCGGCAACGGACCGACCAAGTTGTTGAAACTCACGTCGAAAACGGTCAGCTGGTTTAACAAACCGATTTCCCGGTTAAGACAACCGGTTAGCTGAGAGTTCGAGAGAATAACCTCGTGCAATGTTTTCCCCATTTTGTAGAAACTTGGAGGCACGCAAGATCCTCGTAGATCGTTGTTGGCCAAAACAAGAACCGATACCGGAGAGTTACCGATGTTTTTCGGTAACCTAAACCGGAACTTGTTGTCGTTAATGAAGAGAGCGTCGAGGTCTAATTCAAAGAGTTGGTCAGGAACATCACCGTAGAAATCATTAAACCTAATGTCGAGAAACTTCAAAGAAGGTAAAGAGAAGATTACGGAAGGAAACTCGCCGGAGAGTTTATTGTTGCTCACGTCAAGCTCGTGAAGAAGCTTGAGACAGTTTAGAGATTCAGGGAGTTGACCTTGGAAACGGTTTGAATTGATGTGGAATAAGGCAAGATCGGTTAAGAGACCGAGCTCGACCGGGAGATAACCGGCGATGTTTGCATGGTTTAAGTCTATACCAGCGACGGTTAAGACGTAAGGGTTATCTAGAGCCGGTGCACAAAACACGCCTGTGTAGTTACAAACATGAGGACCACACCAGTTTGAAGTGAAGCCGTTTGGGTCTGAAGTTATAGTGAACTTCCAAGCTTGAAGAGCTGCGTAAGCTTTTAAGAGCCTTGGGTTCACGATCGGTGGAAACCAATTAGGACCATGTGCTAAGCAAGGGTTGGTCGGAGGATTATAGTGAGTGAAAGCTTGAGGT